TTCTTACATATGCTCACATGGGTGCATAGCATCTGTTGTAACGTGTTTGATGTCCACACGTTTGTTGGACATTAATACCTACTAGGGATATCAAATAATAAATTCCTCAAACTAAACTATGCTTAAACCCGCATCCTAAAAAAATAAGAAAAAAAAAAAGAACTGTATATATATATATATATATATATATATATATATATATATATATATATATATATATATATATATATATATATATATATATATATACATATATATATATTTAATTTATTTGTTAAAACGTTATTGTTAATGGATATAGATATGTTAGTAGATGACCTATTTTTTATTTTATTTTATTTTTTTTTCAAACATATATTATTATTCTATATTTATTTATTTCCATCTACCGGTTTGAATATTTTCAGAAAATGTGCGTTAGGAAAATATGCACCCTACGTTTTTTTAACAAGATTTCTATGAATATCCAAAGCAGTAGATGAAAATAAATAAATCTACTGTTTAGGAAATAAATAAAAACAGAACATCTATTCAGATATGAGTATCCATTTAAAAATAACGTTTTAAATACATAATATATATAAATATATATATATATATATATATATATATATATATATATATATATATATATATATATATATGTATGTATGTATGTATTTATGTATATATGCAAGAAGGACACTCACGAAAATTCGAAGTTAAATAAATTCCAGTAATGAGAGTCGGAAATAAATATCTGTACAAAAACATTGTACCCACCCACACAGACGACGAAACACACACCCACACTAAGTTTATCAAGCTCTCTCTCTCTTTTTCTCACTCTCTCTTTTTCTCTCTCTCTCTCTCCTTCTTTCTCTCACCCTCACACATATTTACGCATGAACACTTGGTCTCATAGTGAGTACAATCAATGAATGACAAGTAACGATACGATTATTTTTATACAGGCTTTACACACGACTGTACGTTATTGGCTAACACTATATTACAAGTATAACCCCAGGTAAGAAATTTCCTTTTGAATTTTCTTACAGACACATGCAACAATCACTCCCCGCAATTACGATTTTCAATAGATACACGCACACACACACACTCACATATATATATATATATATATATATATATATATATATATATATATATATATATATATATATATATATATATATATATAGGTGTGTGGAGAATCAGGCATACACGTGCGATCATACAGTAAAAGCGCAAATCGGGGGGGTCGATAGAATTTTACGCGCACACCTGTTTGAAAAAAAAAATGAACGAAATTGACTATTAGACAAACTATATAAAATACTTTAAATATCCTCCCCCACAAAATAAACCGTCACCCACAACAAAGTAAAATAATATATCATTTGAGAATACTATTTTTTTTTTATATTTTTCATCTTTTTAACGCAAAAATAGCATAATAAAAAAAGAAAATAAAAAAAACAAACAGTCGTTTGTTTATCCGGACGACAAAATATTTTTTTTTCTTTGCTTCTATTGAAGTTAACTGTTTTTTCCATTTGTATCCGTTTCGCTTTCTGCTTATGTTTTCACACTTCCCAATATAACTCTTCGTAGCTTTTCATTACACATCAATGTTCATATCGAGATTTGCTCCTAAGGTGGGGGGTTTGCAAGAGAAATAAACAAGCGAAAGAGAATGACTTTTATACTACCGGTTCTCTTAAAACAAAACCTGGATTAAGACACTCACTCACATTCTCTCTCTATCGGTCCAGCTATCTATCTCAGTTTATTTTTTTTTCAAGCTTGCGAGCTAGCTAGATGCTGGCAGGTATTTGAGCAAGGACCCGCTAAAATTCTATCGGCAAAGAAGAAAATTATGAGGCTTTTATAGATTTGTTGATTGCTACAAGTAGTTGTTTTGTGCCTATAGTCCTGAATATTTGCGTAAATGTCTGAGCGCTTATTGGAGAATTTTTTTTCTTCTGTATACAGAGAAATCTGCAAGATTTTATCAATTTTGTGATGCATGCCTTTGTAACATTGTCAGAAGAAAAAAAAATGATTCCTCGTCTAAAACATAGATGGATATATACGCGCGTGCGCACACACGCGCACACACGCTTGTATATTTATTGAGCATGCGCGTATGTTTGTGATTATCAATGAAGACACGCAGTCATGCATATATATATATATATATATATATATATATATATATATATATATATATATATATATGTGTGTGTGTGTGTGTGTGTGTGTGTCTGTGCATGTGTATGCGTGTGTGTATGCGGATGTGTGTGTGTTTGCGTGTGTGTGACGAGATAATTTAAGAACAGGACGAAAGGAATCAACAATTCAGTTTCGAAGTCTGGCTAATTTCCATGCGTTCCATTCGAACTAATGCGTTTTTGATCAGGCATGAATCAAATAGTCCCTTCGATCTGTCCCATCGTAATGTGAGGAGCAGCAGAGAATAAAAAGGCTGGCTGAGCAGTAGGGTCAATAACACGCCCGTAACGTGTATTCTACCCAGGTAAAATTCTGTTTCCAATCTGTTATCGGTTTTGACAAGAGGCATCTCAGATAGTACAAGATAGTGCTGAAAAGTTCTTGGCCTGGCTAAGATACCTTTATCACCCCAAGCCCAAGTGCGGTGTTTGGATATTAACTCGGATTCTGGGAAACTAATTTCAGCACCATCTTTTATGAATACAAATTTTTGAACGTTGATATATATATATATATATATATATATATATATATATATATATATATATATATATATATATATGAACAAACACGCACACAGAGAGAGAGAGACACAAGATGATGCTACATGCAGGTCTTTGGTCAAACCCACTTTCCAAATTTGACCGAATATGAGAATGAAGTGAGTTCCTTTTTGGTCAGGCCGAGGATCTGTTTACCACGACACTTGTATGTCTGCTATGATGGGTAGACACGAAATGGAGACTAGCTTGCGGAAAAATCCATGCACTGACACGCACACACACACACACACACACACACACACACACACACACACACACACACACACACACACGAACACACACACACAGACACAGAGAATTTTGGGAATTTAGATCATGTAATAATTATATATATATATATATATATATATATATATATATATATATATATTCAAAATTTCATATATATATTCCTAATTATAATATATGCATGCTATAATATCGAAAAAATTGGAATTTTCTTTTAAACCTGTACTTTATATATATATATATATATATATATATATATATATATATATATATATATATATATATATATATATATGTATATATATGTATATATATATATATAATCAAAAATATATATCTCAAAACGCTTTTTGAATTTGTAGGTCTGATGAATTGGATCGTGATTACGATTCCAATGTAATAAATTATAACCATGGAATATTAGTGTTTAACCCTTTTTATTATTTATATTATTATTATTATTATTATTATATATATATATATATATATATATATATATTATACTTAGGTCTATGGAAACATACTTTACTATTCATTACCCCACGTTGAAGTGGTAATATATATATATATATATATATATATATATATATATATATATATATATATTCTTGATAACTGCTAAGAGAATAGACGAAATCACACGGATATATAGAACATTTACACAGTTTTAGACACTTTATTTGAGAAATGGAAAAACTGATACGAACACACACAAAAAAGAAAAACTGAATAAAAAGCTTAATCGCAGTACCTTGTCAGTTGTCTTTAAAGAAACATGCATAAAAGAGGGATTGCTGCCTAAATACACACACACACACACATACACATAAAGACACACACACAGACACGCACATTTATATGCACATATTCGTTCTATTTAGTAGTGTATTTTTTAATATATCAATGACTGCTACCTGGCTATACAATACTATAATTTATATTTAGTATGCATATACATATTTAATATTGATAAATATATATATATATATTTATTATCTTTTATATATACACACACACACACACACACATATATATATATATATATATATATATATATATATATATATATATATATATACATGAGTGTTGGGGGCATATATGTGTGTATGTCTATGTGTATTAGAGTGTGATTACGTGTGTCATATAGCTGCAAGACTATGTATCATCGATCATTTAACGGGACCTTAATCTGTTTGTAAACATCCGTCGACAGGCCTGTACCTATCTTAGAATATCGACCACTGTCGTCGATGTAAAAGTGAATATTCAGCGTTTTTTTTTTCTCTTTTTCGCGACAACTGTGAAGTACACACATACAACCATGCAGAAAGAAAATGTATGTGTCAGAGTGATGTCTTTAGAGCTATGGAATAAAGGAAGAATCTGCAAAATTATCGGCTTTCATCTGGTATCTCGATTACAACTACGTATAGTACAGAAATATATATATATATATATATATATATATATATATATATATATATATATAGATAGATAGATAGATAGATAGATAGATAAACCTAGTGAGCCAGACAAAACCTACCCAGGTTTCACCTAAGCGGATCGTCAGGGATCGTTCGTATTTCTAGCTCTTTCTTTTTTAAAACCTTTTTTTTTCCTTCGAGATTGATTTGATTATTGGCAAATCAAAAAATTAGAAGGTTTTTCGAAACGAGTATACTTACATATATATATATATATATATATATATATATATATATATATATATATATATATATTTATCTTTCGATTCGATTAAGTACTTTTACAATAAACGAAGGAGATATTTTGTCTTTTAAAGCTCACTCACACGTTCAGATTTTATTTGCCTAACGATTGCATTTTGCAGGAAACAAGATTGTTGCCTCAGGGTGTTGTCTTCTATGTCGAATTTTATATTTCATTACACGCACTATCCCTAATATTGTGCACTCGTAAATATAGCATACGTTAAAAATTATATTTTATTATATATATATATATATATATATATATATATATATATATATATATATATATGTACATACTAAACTTTTGCGTCCATTTTACACCATTTTCTTAAGAAGTGGATAAAAATTGATCTCTTCTCACTGTCGGCTGTGGGTTTACTCGAAGGGTAGACTTCGACTTCTTACCTTGATAGTCAGTCTGTTTCAAAGAAGGAACAAATTTCAACGGGGAACGAATCCGCTATCTATCAAGTAATCCACAACAGTTGGCAGATGATGTGGAAAAAACAAAGGAACTATATGACCACCACAATTCTGAAGGAAGAAGGCAAGGCATATATATATATATATATATATATATATATATATATATATATATATATATAAACATAAACATATGCTGTTTGACTTTTGGTATAATTCTGAGGGAATACTGTTTCATACCGATAGGGAGATTGTAAATAAAAACAGAGACGTTACAGAAATCAACATTGCATTATCCGATGCAGTTATCTATCTATCTATCTATCTATCTATCTATCTATCTATCTATCTATCTCAGTTCGAATCTATCTATCTATCTATCTATCTATCTATCTATCTATCTCAGTTCGAATTTATCGATCTATCTATCTATCTCAGTTCGAATCTATCTATCTATCTATCTATCTATCTATCTATCTATCTATCTCAGTTCGAATCTATCTATTCATCTATCTATCTATCTATCTCAGTTCGAATCTATCTATCTATCTATCTATCTATCTATCTATCTATCTTAGTCTGTTTAGATCTATCTACTTATTTTTCTATCAGTACGTGTATGATTACTTAAAAGTCTGTCTACACACATGCACACACACACACATATATATATGATGGAATCTATATGCACACACACATATACGCACACACACACACATATATATATATCTGTATATATATATATATATATATATATATATATATATATATCTATATATATATATATATATATATATATAAATCTGAAATAAAAGATAATTTGTTGAGATCACAAATCATTTTGCTCAGTAATGTGTGTCACACTTATTATTAGTGTGTGTGTGTGTGTGTACATATATATATATATATATATATATATATATATATATATATATATATATATATATATATATATTCAAACATGTTTCATTGAATAGTATAGGAATTTTATGTATTTATTTTCATAATAATCCTTTCTAGTTCTCTAATTATCTTCTTGATGTAAGAGATGAAATTCATCAAGGCACTGTAGTTTTTCCTTACCCATGTACTTTCGATCTCTTCCGAGATCATTCTCAGGGGTGAATTTCGAAGACAAACCTATTGTAACTGTGATTATTGTGATGACGATTATTGTGATGACGATTTTTTTATAAGCGTTATGTATAGGTTTGATTCCTGGTGGGGACCACATTTTCTTTATAAATATTTCTCGAGGGCACATATCAACAGACACTTTCTAATGTAAATAACATAAATTCAACGTCTATTTAAAATACGAATCGATTATCCACTATAATAACGTTTGAGGCAATAAAAAAAATTATCGCCCGGTTCACACTCCTCCCTGCTCTTTTGAACAGCTTTGAAGATTTATCCCTTGTTTCCTATTTAGGATTCTGGTTCCTTCCAAAACCTTCTCATTCTCTTTCACTCCCAGTAGCATTTTGCTAGGGGTGAAGTGATTTAAATAACAAAATATCGGATTAAAAATAAATCCAGTATGTTTTTTTGTAATTGCTTTGTTTATGTTTCGGGTCCGAAATTAAATAGATAAGCTCTTTCCAGAAAAATAATCAGACAAGAGTTTGTGCTTTCCTTAAAAAAAGAAATGGTTGGGTTTAGGGTTAATCTTGGTGTCCTGTGACGACCTTTCCATCTAAGGGATATAAACAACCAACTCAAAGGACACCTACAAAGGGGTCCACAGATTCCATTCCTGCTCAAGAAATCATTCTTTTCGAATGCGAAATCCGATAGACGTCATACAAAATTTTTAAAATAAAATAACATTGGGATATCTATTTCATATACGAGTATCCACTAATAATACAGTATTTACATTAGTCGGACTATTGCCCTCATCTTTGTCGCCATATTTGTCACAACGTTTCGGCCGTTGTACGCTCCGGCCTTCTTCAGGTGGTTGGAATGTCGAACTGAACCCTTTATTTCGATCAGTGGGGTAGACTGTTCTAGTTCCACGTGCCATGTTTGATGGATGTCAGTTATCAGTTATCTCCTGCTAATTTTCATTCTGAAAGTTCTCCACTGCCTTAACCAGGTATTGAACTCACCTTCTTTGGGTCTGTCACTGGATCTAACCAACGCCCTTATCCACTGTGCCATGTGTCCTTGAGGCCGAAACATTGTGACAAATATGGCGACAAAGATGAGGACAATAGTCCGACTAATGTAAATACTGTACATAATACCTCATCTCAGAAATATAGACAGACCACTAATAATAGCATTTAAAGTAATAAAAATATCGAATTATAAAATAAGTCCATTAATTCTTTATCTATCTATCTCTATGTCTATCTATCTATCTATTTATCTGTCTATTTATTTATCTATCTATCTATCTCTCTAAAATTACACACACACACATATATATATATATATATATACATACACACACACACACAGATACACACACAGAGGTTTCGATAGGTAAATTGTCGCCACTTTATATTTTTAATTACGCGCATGCGCGTTGTTTGTTTTCCACAGTTTGGCACCGTCTGACGGATGACGCATTTCACTTCACCATAAATTTGGAAACGGCATGCAGTACTGCTTGGCATTCGCACCGGAATCTCCAATATGAACTTTTCAAAATGTTTCGGTGTCAATCTGTGACACTGCACAGGATTCGGAAAGAGAGAGATGATTAACAAAGGTACGGCAGTTGAGAAACCTCACTCTGATCGTAATGGTAAGAAAGGAATACCCGAATTTGTTGGGGAGGCTTCAATCTGAAAACGGAGGTCTACAACAAGTGCCTTGAGGAAGTAGTGCTGAGCTGCGTCAAGAGGGTGGCTGCTGGAAGACCCTATGTCTGTCAACAGGACTCTGCACAATGCCACACAAACAGGAGAACCAAAACACGGCTGTCAGACAATTTCAGCGACCTCATCACTCCTTACATCTGGCCATCTGACTAACCATTTCATTATTATGTGTGGAGCGTAATTGAGCGAGAGACAAACAAAACTCCTTGTAGCACCAAAGATAAACTGAAAACAAGGATTATTACCAACTTAAACACGGAAACAGTCCAGAGGAGTTGCAGGAGATTCCGAAGTCGTCTGGAAGCTGTGGTTGAAGCCAATCGCGATTTTTTTTTGAATCAATTTACTCTTTAGTATTTCAAAATATTTTTGTTTAATTTTGGTAAATATATCTCTTAGATGTCAGTGCCATTTTTTTTTTGCATAATTTAGACAATTTATCCATCGCACTCTGTATAAAGGAAAATATGATATGTGAATTAGTATCTGTCAAAATAATGTGCGACACTTAGATGACAAAGTGGTAAAATTCTATGTAATGTACTCTAGAAGGAGTCCATTAGACTAAATTAATTCATTAATGCAATAACATATGTTTATGTAAAGTGGGAAAAATAATTGTATGGACCGGTTAATTTTTCTTGACAAATCTTCTGTTGTCAAACAAAAAGCGTTAGGAAATTGACTGAGACTGGTTCGGCTGTTTGTCCAGACACTCCTGCCGAAAAAAAAGGAAAAAAAAAAGAAAGAAGAATTAAAATTATATAAAAAAAAAATGATATATTTAATTACAGATGCAAAGACACACATATATACGACAGACGCCCTGAAACAAATGTCTCCTGCGGATTTACAAAGCCACAAGAAATACAATGATATCGTTAGGAGGTTAGTACCAATAGACTATTGGAAAACACTATTTTACCACCAACATAGGCAACTGAAACGGATTACACATCTCCCGTGCTCATATCCATTGTTTAGTCTACGCAACCATTCAGAAACTTTAGAAAAGTTAACGGTTGAATTTTTACATAGAAGATCGACGACACCACTCTGTACCGTGTGTACATTCATGTCAGATGATATTTTGCCAGACAGCCGGAATCAATAAAAAGAAAGGTATTTTTTTATCATTTTGTCCCAAGAAAGTCGATAAAAGCCACTAGGATGCACAGGGGTATATTAAGTGAAAGTTATGTATATATCAAGTCTGTTCATATCTATCTCAGTCTGTTCATATTTATCTATCTATCTATCTATCTATCTATCTATCTATCTATCTCTATATATATTTCTCAGTCTTTTCATATCTATCTTCCTATCCATATATCTATCTCAGTCTGTTGATATCTATCTATCTATCTATCTATCTATCTATCTATCTATCTATCTATCTATCTAAAAGGTCACCGTGTAAATATTTTAGAAAAGGCAAAGTAAGATCGTATACGTATGTGTAAAAGTTACAGTAACCGAGATACCAGGTGAGGTCCGATAACATTGCTGATTCTAAATTTACATCCATACCTCTAACCACATCCCTGTGACTCACACAGTAAGAATGTTGATATGCCGTTAAACAAAGAAATCAATCAATTGATTTTAAAGCCATCGTGACCGTGGTTTTGAGCATAGAGGCCCTTTTCAAATAATTGATTATATGAACCCTTCCAATAACTGTAACGTCCTCTCAACATACTAGTAATATGAGAGTAGAGTGGGTTGAGCAGATGACTTTAGTAGGGACTTGCTACTCGTCTTGGTGGATGTGTATGCTAGCGTGATCTTACGCGAGATTTTAAGTTCTCGTCTTCCTTTCAGATATGTCGTGTGTATTAACGAAACAGCTTCCAGTCCGACATAGCAAATTTAAAGTTCGCCATACTCTAGCTCCCAATAAAATTGAATTTCGCCATAAAATGACCCATAAAGTTGCCGATATGCTGTTAAACAAACAAATCAAGCAATCAATAAATCGCTGTGTTCATTAAGATCTTCGAGGTGCGACATATACTGAAGGTATACTATGAGAGTGTGTCGAGGACAAGATAACCTGGCGGAGTCCATTCCTCTTTAAACTGGTTTCTGAATCCAGTATTGTCTATCACTCAGAGTGGTTTCCCAACTAAGAATCTATGCCCTGTTATTTAACACTTAGCTGGAAGTAAATGGATTATTGCTTTTTCCCAGGGCGTAACTGAAAGAATCTGTCAATTCATAATTCCGCACCGATAACCGTTATAATGACAGCACATCCTGATATTTCTATCAATAAATCGATGGCCTAATTAGGATGAAATCATGTATTTTACGCCTAAAATAACACCACTTTTTAAACCTACAAGTCTCCATTCCTCGCACAGGTTGAACAATTTTCAGGATTTCTTTAGAAGCTGGACACACAGGTAAAATTGCATATTTCCAAGAACCGTTTCTTTATTGAATTGGAATATTAAAAAATGGCATCTTCAATATGATTTCTGTCATTTGTGATGCAAAGTTTGATGCGCTTTGCAAGATTCACACCTACTAATTTAGCAGACCCCAGAAAAATTCTTTCTTCTTTCAAGAAACCATGTTCGATCTATACAGATTAAATATTTATATACGTCTTTCAGCTGATCCAGTCTTTTCTCTCAAATCGGGAAATGAAAGCCGTCCTGAACAGCCGCTTGTCTACATCCTTTGGTATTAACGTGGATGACCACAGAGCTCCATCCATGGTCCTACGCTAGCTTAATACCGATTTTATATATATATATATATATATTTATATATATATATATATATATATATATATACTCAATTTTATCATCCGAAACTTAAACAAAACAATTTCGCTCTTTCTATCTCACTTATATATATATATATATATATATATATATATATATATATATATATATATTTATATATATATATATATATATATATATATTATAATTTTTTTTTAATATATGATTCCTTCGCTACATAAGAGTTCTCATGTTTCAAAAACAAGACCCAAAAACTTCAATATAATTATTAAAATTAAATTAAATTAAAGTATCAAGCTCTGTTTCATCCTCAAGCGAATTTTTGGGAATAAATATTTATTTGTACGATGGTACAAAATGTGGCACAAGGCCAAAAGGGGGATTGGTGAAAAGGACGGTCTTCTTCTGTCTTAATTCTAAACTTAGCTAGCCACAAACACTGACCGAAACATACCAATAATAGTCCTATAACCAAAACAACACATTCTCCCCTACCTTTCTTGCTACATCCACAATAATATCACCATGTCTCTATGAAATCCTAACTAATCCCCATATGTACATTTCAAAGTCTGTGGGGGGAGTGGAATAAAACAACAATTTAAAACACCCCGATGATTATTTAAAATATTATTTAAATGAAGCAAAACAAAATAAGGTTAGTAATAAAAAAACAAAAGAAACCTCAAGGAATCTAAATAAAAGATTATATGAACACAAAAGGGACATTTTGCAAAACAATACGTCAAATATGATGTTGCCCACCAAAACGAAACTGACCGCAATTTTGACATAAAATATTGTTACTCCGATCAATGGAGAAAATAATTGACTACAACGAAAATATTTAGAGAGTTCTTTATTTACAAATGTCATCTACAGTAATTTTGCGCCATGACTCTTTAAAACATTCCACAATTCCTGGCAGAGCTTCTAATATCACTGTGTGGTATGTGACTATTACAAAGGTAATGGAAAGAAAAAGTACAAGACTCCAAATGAATTATGATAAATATATATAAAACTATTCTAAAATCCCCCAAACCCCTCTTTTGTGCGCTTATGCAGACACACCAACATAACTAATTTAGTCTGCTGAAGTCCTGTAGAACGAAACGCGTCACAAGTAAACTTTTCTACTTTGTTATAAAATTTACCTATATATATGTATATATGTATATGGGAGGTAGTTTGGTGTAATGCCGTGACAGTTGCGTCTATGTCTTAGGTACGAAGTGGTTCTTGTTCTTGATTAGAATCTGTGAGAGTTTGCGTTCTGTTTTCATTATAGGATCTTTGTCACAGCGTCACGCCACGTTACCTCACATATACTGTCTCACAAAAATTCACAAAGACGATATTCCACTCAGGTCGATTGTTAGCTACAAAGGCTCTGTTTGCATCCTAGTAGATATAAATCGACTCATTAATAGGAAAGTCATCATCGTATATCCGAAACTCCTCGTGGAAATAATTAAAGCTACTATCAGGCAAACCAACCAGAGGTTGAACCAGGACATGGTGAATTTATTCACCAAGGTACCGACGGAGAAGGCACTCTTGGTAGTCAGGGACAGACTGGCCTTGGACTCAGCCCTAGGAGAACGAAAGTGTATACCAATAGATAACCTGATGGAGATGCTGACTTTCTGTATGCAAACAACACACTTTGGAATGGTATCAGGCATATATCAATAGGATGAGGGTTTAGCAATGGGCTCGTCATTATCACCAGCAATGGCGAACCTGTATATGGAATACTTTGAAGAAATGGCATTAGAATCTACATTACTAAAGACAACCAAATGGCTGAGATACGTAGA